TAGTACTCAACTGATTAATGTCAGACTTTCAAATCCTTCATCACTTGAATTAAGATGATAATTGAATTTTAAAGCACAGCCACCACAAAATCAGACTTTGAGATCGTTCTAAGGCTAAATAAATATTTAAAATCATAACAAGAAATAGTTTAATAGCTATGATACTGTTTTTGAAATCAAATTTTTGCATAGCAAATATGTCAGGAAACAATGGCATCTAACTGTGGCTTGGAAAAATAGTTAATCTTAAAAAAATAAAGCATATCTATATATATATATATATAAACCCAAATAGGAAATAAAACCGTTATCGAATAAGCATGTGTCCTATTCTATGTCCTAAACTCCTAAACATTGGTGTCTCATATTTTAGAGCAATCATTTATGAAAGAAATCAGTTAAACCTATATGTGGGTGTGTGTGAAAGAAATTCAGATGTAACCCCCTTTGTAATCGTTAACATTTTCATAAGTAACTAATTTAATTACAGATTTTTTTCTCAGTAGCTAACTGATTACAGTTACATTTATTTTGTAATTAAATTACATAATTTAATTTTGTAATTAAAAAAATACATGTAAATAGTTACTCCCAAACACTGTTTATAAAACACATACTAATGACTTATTCTGAATGACAATTCTGGATCCCTTAATTCTATCCAATACCTAAACATAACTACTAGCAGTAAACAGAATATTAGGAGTTTATTGAGGGAAAACACTGAATCTGTGTTTCCTAATCTAAAGAGTTACATTTATATAATGTTATATATATATTATATATATATATATATATATAACATACACAATAACAACTAGTGAACGTTTTTATCAATTCAGGAACCCGATCGATCCTCGTATCCAATGGAAACCGCTCGGCTATCAGTGTGGCTTGTGTGTAGCCTACTGTATGTAATGTTGACGCGATGCTACATGACGGTCGGTAACATCCGGTTAGCGCTTTAGCTAAACCTCAAAACCTCCGAACACAAATTCCCCTCAGCCTACAAACTCGCGTGGAACAACAGTTACGTGAATTACACGACCACACGTTAAGAATAAGAAACGGCCACAAAATGACACAAAACATTCAGCGTGTGTCTGTGTGTGAAACAGGCTTAATAACTGTCCTACCTCACAGAAACCGAACGGTAATGAAAACATGTCCGTAAACACACCGCTGCCTCACATGTCGGTCGCCACGGCTCTTCTGGAGGAACGGAAAAAACATTTATTTTATCTCTCGGCTCCGCTTTTCAGCTCGGTTCCCCGGGTAAGCGAAGTGAAGAGAAAACAGAGTTCATGACATAAAGGTTGAGGGAGGAGGAGGAGGAACAGCCTGAACAGCTGTTGGTTTGAACACACCATAGCTCCAAAACACATGATTCTTCACTACATTTACATTTAGTCATTTAGCAGACGCTTTTATACAAAGCGACTTACAAATGAGGACAATAGAATCCTACTACTTGTTTCACTTCTGTTTCAGTTTTTTTAATAACCATTTCTTACTATGTGTCAGTAAGTTGTTATTTTAGCATGTGTGTTTGGCTCAGTGTTATTTTTTTAGGATTACTGATAAACTAATGTAGTTTGATTTGTATTAGTTATCTATTTTAGTTTTACTTACAGTTGTAGTAATGTCATTTTATTAGCTCTTTATTATGTCTATATAGGTTTTTTTATTAAGTTTTAGTTTCATTTAATTTGAGTTATTTCAGTACTTCAACATACAAAATGGAAATGAAATAATATATACAGTATATATTTAATGTATATGTATATGTGTGTGGCAGTACATACACATATGTAGTTGTTTTTTGGTGTGAAGCAATCAAAAGGGCAACAATATGTAAGTGCTGTGACAAGTCTCGGTTAGTCTTACGCAGTACATGTAGCAAGTTTTATAATAAATAAAAAGAAAAACAAGTAGATAGAATAGAAAAAGAATAGAGAATGCTAGTGTTAGAGGCTCTTTTTCACAAAGAAAACAAGTAGTAAGAATAGAAAAAGAATAGAGAGTGCTAGTGTTAGTGGGTCAAGTGTTTTTTCTTCTTAGAATTAGAATAGAGAGTGCTAGTGTTAGAGGGTCAAGTGTTTTTTCCCCATAGAATTAGAATAGAGAGTGCTAGTGTTAGAGGGTCAAGTTTTTTTCTTCTTAGAATTAGAATAGAGAGTGCTAGTGTTAGAGGGTCAAGTGTTTTTTTTCCGTAGAATTAGAATAGAGAGTGCTAGTGTTAGAGGGTCAAGTGTTTTTT